GGGGGGGGGGGGTCCAGGGTCCATGGCCCATGTTCTCTTGAACTTGTCAACACAGAAGAAAACGGCCCCAGCAGATTGTTTCCCTTAAGGTGATAGGAGAGAATTTGAATTTCCTTAGAAAATGGAAGGACTTTGGTGAACACTCCAGACTGAGCTTCCGACCACGGCAGCAGAACCCGAGCGGTTTTGAAAACCTTCAGTTTCATTCGTCTATAGTTGTCAGTGTCACGTGAACCGTCCTCGTCAGTGTCTGGAGTCCCCACGGGCTAAATTCTGAAAAGACGTCCAGGTCCCTTGTTTTAGTCATTTATAGAATAAATACAGATTCTCTAGCCGTTGCTGGTGGTGGAGAAACGACAGGGTGAGAGGGACCAGGTGGGGACAGGTGGGACCCCACCCAGCGTGGGGAGCGGGTGGGCCTGAGCTGACCTGCCCCTGCCTAAAACACAGACCATGATCATCACACCCGTTCCCTGTCAGCGCTGCTGTGGGGGCCACCTTAGTGTAGTCATCTGTGTGTCTACAGCGTGTCCCCAAAAATCTGCCCCCTGGGATTTCACCCCCGACCAGATCAGGTCCCTTGTCCTCCCAGCTCTGAGGTGTTGGCACAGTGTCGCCCTCAGCATCTTCGGAGGCAGTGAATGGAACCCCACCTCCAGCGGTGCCTGCGAACCCCCCCTTCCCTCCTCCTCCAGCAGACAGGACAGGACGGGCTCTAAGTGTTTACCTCAGTTCTCACTTTACTTTTACTCCTGAGCTTTCTGTCTGTTTCTTTGTTTCAGTGGCTCGTCATTTTTCAGGGTGCACACACACACACACTCGCACTCACACACACACTCTCACACACACACACACACACACTCTCTTCCATAAACCTGACCTCAGCCCCTGCTTTAAGCCAGACATTTATATGCAAAAAAAATTGTGAAAAGACAACACTGTTTGCAGTAAGGGAGCTGAGGGCCTTGCCAGGAGGGAGAGAGGCGGGCAGACAAGCAAAGGGGAGTCAACTCTTACAGAGCAGGCCCCGGGCCCCAGGCGTGAAGGAAGGGCTCACCATGAGGAATGTGGGAGCCAGTGCTGCGGACGACAGCAGCTCCCGGAAAACCCCGGGTTCCGTGGTGTCAGCCAGCACCAGTCCTTCCAGGTGGAAACAGTTTGTCAGAGACAGGCACCGACAACAATCACGGGAATTCTAGAAGCTCACTGTTGATGACGTGAAATGAGTTTTACTTGACACACATTCTCGGACTGGGAGGAGTCATGGATTTATAAGGTTAAAGGCATTAAAGAATTTTCAGAAACAGCAGTCGTTCCTGGAACCCTAAAGGTATTCAGGTTGGAGGAAAATCATAATTATTATATAAAACGATGGAATATCCACATAAAGTTTGGATACTTTGGTATCTGAAAAATACCTACAAAAAAAGATTTGGGGTTAACTTTTAAACTTACAAATCCTTTCCACATTTTAAATCTCATTATTATAATACCAAAAGATCATTTTTTTTTTCCAGTTTATTGCACATAATACTGGTAAATTACTGAGAGAATATTAAATGGCATTTTTGTTACATTTTAGGTATATCTGATTTGATTTTAATGAACTTGTATAGAATTTAAAAGTAAAATGCATTTCTTAATATTCTGTAAAATCTTAGGGTTTCTCTGGCCAGTTCTTTCAGGCTCAGTAAGTTAACCAATCAGGTCAGTTCTGTGGGTGGTAGACGGTGACAATGTCCTCACATAGCTTCGCGTTTACAGAAATGGTTCTTAACTTTGTAAAGTTCATTTTTAATACTATTGTACTTTTCAGAAAATATATATACTCCCATACACACAATTTTGCATATATGGTATTTTCAGCCTATTTATAAATTCCTTGAAGACCACGCCAGCTGGTAGCACTGTTCTGCTAAGATTGCTACTATCAGTACCAACACTATAGTCATTGCTAACGCGCTCATTCCGTACCCTCGTAATCCTGGGCCTCTGTCTCAGCGTGGATAGGTCACCTCCGCTAATACTTGCTGCACGTTTTCTGCTCAGCATTACCGCCGTGTGCATGTGACCTCTGTGTGCTTGGAAGTCCCGTGGGGCAGGGTCTGCTGTACAGTGAGTTTCACAGGGAGGCAGGAATGAGGGCATCTGATCTTCTGAAAACTCTTGTCCAAGCTGCTTTTCAGTTACTCAGTTGCTACTGCCAGTTCCTTGGAGGATATGAGACAAATTATGTGAGAGGTGTCTTTACACCTGTGTTCATTTACCAGAAAAAATTTTTCATCTTTGAATGTGCACCCTCACATACCGCACTAAGCCCTTACGTGGCGGGGGCTGCAGGGTTCCCCGCGCATGTGCCACGAGGCCCTGGCGTGCGTTGTCCGTGCGAGACCGTTCCCGTGACTACGGGGGAGCAGAGAACAGCTGAAATAATGGGTGATGGCGTCGATTTTTCTCAGCAAGAGCAGTTTGAGATAAAAGGTCTTTACCATTAAAAGCAGACACGCGTTGATACCCTAAGGGGAAAAATTGATGACGTTAAGTCTGTTTCTTTTCCAGCGGTCACCTGCCCTGGCGTCGAGGCCCAGCTCTCCGAGCACATCACCTGGAGGCTGGTCTCGGGGTCCCTGAACGAGTATGGCGCTCAGGTGGTGCTGAGCTGCAGTCCTGGGCATTACCTGGAGGGCAGCCGGCTGGTGCAGTGCCAAGCGAACGGGACTTGGAGCGTAGGCGAGGAGCGGCCTCGGTGCAGAGGTGAGTCCCAGGTGTGCTCCCAGGCGACACAGCCTCTCTGAGTCACGGGCACTGAGGGTGTTAATCCTACACATTAACCAAACGGCCTCTCTTTGCATTCGGATGAAGAATACTTATTTTATGTGACATGCTTATAATACATGCCATCTTTTCCTTGTTAATGATCATATTTTATAAACTTTAAAATATCAGAATAGCCCAGTATTTCAAATCAGCTCAAAATCAAGTCCAGGTGTGTGTTTAAAGAGACAGCTCTTATACCCTGTGGAGACTGTTCAAACCTTCCAATTGGGACTTGGGGAAGTGGCATTGATGCGGAAGGTATTGTTTTCTCAAATAATGAGTCTTCAAAGGCGGCTGTTATTCCCTAGGTACAAGATAAGCAGGGTTTTGAGTAGGTTTCATAATAAATATGAATAAATAGAGAAATAAACCAATATCACTATTGTTCAAAGCGCGATTTGATTCCAACACATTGACTAGACAACCTCTAGTGGATTGTTCACGGGAAATTATCATGCACAGAAATGAGGCATCAGACCTGTGTCAGATCCCTAACTTATGCAGCTTAGAAAGGAACAAAAGAATTAGTGCTTCGCCGTGTTTCCTAATCATGCTAATTCAACGTCGATAGAACAAGTGTTAAACATGAGCTAGACTGCTCGCCAGGAACACGGAGGTGAAAGGATGGGCCAGTGACTCCTGGGAGCTCAGCGTCCTCCCACCAAAGTCAGCAGCCTGTGTGTGTCCCCAGATGGCCCTGCCCAGCGGGGCCTCATTCTGGGGAAATTTTTCACCCTCCAAAGTGTCCTGGTCTGAGTATCTGGTCACTGGATTCATGCTGAGCTTCCTCTGGGCTGTAATTCTGAGTCAGTGAATTCCTCCTTCTCAAGGCTACACGGCGATCCTCGAATGTACCCCCTGTGGTCACGCTCAGTTTTGAGACTTGGAGACTCAGGTTAAGGCCACAGGGAGGGTGGAGGAGAAGGAACGAGGGTCCTTTTCCTTTGGCCGTGTGGGACTCTCCCAGCCAGCACCCTTTCGGTCAGATTCCGGCCAGAATCGGGGCCTTCAGAGCAGGCATGAGATCGCTCCTTGGGATGGGCGTCCACGCGTCACCTGAGTCCTGGACGGGATCCCGCCCCAACAGATCATGTAAGAGTTCTCCTAAGCTGGACCTGGCCTCACCGTGAAGTGGGCAGGCTGGTCACTGGCCATCTGTTGGTCATTGGAGGTGTGTCTGGACTGACCATTGACCACATGGGCGAGCTTGTCATCAGTCTGCACACTTCACCTGCATCACAGGAGGCCAGAGAAAGGACGTTCCTACCTCATTCCACATGAGCATTGTCCATGGTCATTACTCAGAGCAACGTGACCTTGAATTTTCTTAATAATTTTCTCACACATAAGTGTCCAGGCTGCACTATGTGACTCCAGTGACACTCGCCACCCAGGGACAGCTGGTCCTGTGTTTGAGCCCGTCACTGAGTGAGGAGTCCTCTCTGACACGTCCCGGCGTTTGGCTCCACCCCTCTGGGCCTGTGACACAGGCGCATCAGGACCTGGAGAGGAGTGTGCTCGGACCTCCCGTGGTTCAGCCATTCCTGACCAGCCTGAAGTTTGGGCTACAGATGGAACTTTAAATATCATGACTCAAGGTGAAGTTCATGCTCTGTTTGGAAAAAGGCTTAATGGAAAGTTCATAGTAAATTGTAAAATTGAAATCCTGGTCAAATTCATTGACATTTCGCACAGCAAACAGCAAAATCACTAAACATGTGGATGTGGCCCTGCAGGAGCTCAGCCGTCACAGATGCTAATACGTCGTGGACGCCATCTCCCCAGCAGTAACATCTGACTGGGACACACTCCTAGCGGAATGTCCCGTAGTTCTGGCGAGTAGACCCTCAGAGCACACGTTACCCCACTCGCTGTGTGTCTGCTCGTCCACTTGAAATGGAACCAGGGGCCTTGCATCTCAGAGAAAAGTCAGCCTGTTTCAAAAGGCTGGTTTAATGAGACATCCGTAAATGTTCCTTCACATGAATTATCAGTACAGGTTTTCACACTTAATTTTGTTTGTTTTGTTTTGGGGTGTTTTTTTTTAAGATTAACTCTCACCCAAGGGTATTTTTTCTGTTGATTTTTAGAGAGTGGAAGAAGGGGGGACATCAATGTGAGAGAGGCACATCGACTGCTTGTGTCCCACAGAATACCTGACCAGGGCTGTGCATCAAATTTGCAACCCGGGTACTTGCCCTTGACCAGGAATCGCCCCCGAGACCCTTTGGTGCGCTGGCCAACGCTCTGACCCCTGAGCCACACTAGCCAGGGCAGTTTCACACTTTTGATTTGGTTCACTGACAAGGTCCTGAGGTGTTAGTCCCCTGACTGAACCCAGACCACGTCAGGCACTGCTGTGAGCTCTTAGAGCACGTGTCCCCTCCACAAACCCAATGCACAGCCACATGGCAGGGCTCATAGGAGTCACCCTTTTATAAGAGACTTATTTTTCAAAGTAGTAAAGCAGTTGCTTATTTAAAAAAAACAATTTCAATTATTTATGTACCTATGAAGGAAACTTCAAAACACATTCAGCAAAAACTAATAGAATGGTCAGGGAAACAGGCCAACTTGAAATTATAATCATGTGCCCTGGCCCGTGTGGCTCAGCTGGCTGGCATCGTCCCATACCCGGAAGGCCGTGGTCTGATTCCCGGTCAGGGCACATGCCCAGATTGCAGGTTCAGTCCCCAGGAGGGAACCGATACATGTCTCTCTCACACACCAATCTCTCTCCCCCTCCCTTCCCCTCTCTCTAAAATCAGTAAGAAACATACTTTAAAAAATAAATTAATTAATTAAAATTATAATCATAAGTTTTAGTACTGACCTCTCAATAATGGAGAGAACAGGTAGAGAAAATGGGTAGGATACCAACTTCAAGCACAGCGTTGTCAGGTTGGACCTGACCTTTATGGAACCTCTCCCAGCAAACAGCAAAACACCGTTTGTTCTTAGTTCTGTAAGAGACATTTGAGCTCATGAGGGAAACCCCCGGCCGTGGGGTGTCTCCTCCCTGGACCACGAAGAGGGGCTGGCTAGTCTCCAGACACTTATCGGCAGAGAGGCTGGGATTTTACCACCTTATTCCCTCGCTGCCCTTTGCCTGGTAACCTCCTGAGACTGGCCTCCCTGCCCCTGACTCCCTCGTCTGTCTTCAGCTGGGACGGTGTTGAAGGTGGTGGCGTGGGCCATGTTGGGGGTCACTCAGTTTCCCTGCGTGTCCCTCGTGTGTACAGGTGGTAGACGTGTTCATAAACTTGTCTCTTTTCCCCTATTAGGCTGTTGCTTATGACAGGGGTCTCGCCAAGAACCTAAATGGGTGGAGGGAGGTTATTTTCCTCCCCTACTGGATCAGCCCCGATGGGCACCAGCGAGGCCCCGAGAACAAGGAACGTGGCCAGTGTCCCCAGCTAGTAACTGGCCAAGCGAGGGTTGAACCTGGGAAGCCTGCAGCTGGGAGCTCAGTTCTCACCTCTCAGTTTTACCGCCTCCTATTGGTTTATTGTTACTATGGGCTGGGAAAGTTTTAGCTCCTTGCATGCTCTGCCCCCAGCCCTTTGCACGTCATGACTCTTTGTGGCCAGAACCTGACCACTCCTCTCACCTGTTTAAAGCACATGTGTGCCTCTGATGAGCAGTTGGCCTTAGTGAAGTTGTGATTTCTCCCGCCCCTGGGATCCTGCGATTTCTATGCTCAAACGTGTATGTGTGGAGTGCGGGAAACTGGTGGTGTATGAAGTGTCTACAGTGAAAGTGACATTCAATTCAGCTCCCAAGCAGGAGTGGTCGTGTGAGCGAGGTGGACCCCATCAATAAATGTGCTGAGACAGCAGGTGAAAACTGGGGACACACGGTTCCCCTCTCTCTAGCCACGTAGGAGCTGGATTTTATAGTTCTTAATTTTTAGAAAAGCTCCACCTGTCAGCTGTCTCATCAGCATTGCTGTGGAGCTCATGATCCCCACAAATTGTGCAAGTAAATGAGGGAATCAGTGAGCTCAGTCTGTTGTTGAGGCGGCATGTCCTGGGTTTTAATTCCACACCACTTTGTACCTTCTCGTTGACCCCAGGAAAGGCCATTCTTAATTCCTGCTGGAAGCACGTTGGCCTCCAGTGACTGTGACATGGATGGTGTGACTGACGCAGACAGAAAGTGGACAGAATGCCACCACGCTGGCAGGCTTGCCTGTGTGTGAATATGCTCGTGTACCGGGTATTTTTTCAGTAAAGGTTTAGCTGCCTGTGAAGATGAGAGCAGAGGGCGTTGAAGGGACCTAGAAGAGTCTGGAGTCCCCTCTAAACTTCCAGGTTTTCATGTCAAGCATACGAGAAAAGGAAAAGGAGCTGCTTGGCTGGTTGACCTTCCTAACCCTACGCAGACAGACCCCTGTCCGTGTTCTTGGTGCAAATGAAGACGCGATTTTGTTCATTTGAAGCAAACAGAAACCTGCAGACCTGAGGTAACACTCACTTTATTCTTACTTTCCCTGCAGTCATCTCCTGCGGAAGCCTGTCCTTCCCTCCCAATGGCAACAAGATCGGGACGCTGACCGTCTACGGAGCCACGGCCATATTCACATGCAACACGGGCTACACACTCGTGGGCTCCCACGTGCGAGAGTGCCTGGCGAGCGGGCTCTGGAGTGGCGCCGAGACCAGGTGCCTGGGTGAGTGCCCCCCCGGACCCTGTTCAGTTCAGTAAACCTGGAAGTAGGGCGTGGCTGGGCAGGGCATGGCCTCTCCTGGTCAGTGATCTGACCGGTGTCACTCGTCCTACCCTGGCCTCCTGCTGCGCTTGCTGGTGACTCCTCTTCAGGTAGTTCCAGGGGCTTTCTTTAAACCCAGTCGATAAATGGAGGTCACATCGTGCCATAAGTGACGTAAGGACTGTATTACAGAGTCTGAGGACATCACTGTGCTCATGATTTAGGACACACAGAAGTAAGTTTCAAGTATCGTGCATTTAAAAATTATAAATTATGTCAACAAGCTAAATGGGCATTAATACCAACCAGTGTAAGACGATGAACTATTTTAAATGTCATGTGGGCGCAATGACGTGGTCCCCTTTTCCCAAGATTAAAATGTTTTGCATGATAATTTTTAAAAATTGAGTAGAAAGTTTTTCTATTGAAAAACCTCCTGAATAAATGTATAAGCAACTTAAAGTACAGTGATTTCTAAGCTCCTTTCAGCTCTCCAAGTAATTCGTAAAATGGGTTCCCTGCTTTCAAACTCTGTGACCTCAGTGATGTTTTAATCACACAAAAGCCATAGAAGCTGGAAAGTTTTAGCCTCTGGCCATCCTCGGGCTGAAACCACTGTAGGAACTAAGCCAAGGCTGAGACATTTAAATATATATATATTTTTATTGATTTTAGAGAGACAAAGAGAGAGACAGAGATTTCTGAAACGTCGATGTGAGACATGGACATCGATCGGCTGCCTCCTGCCCCCCCCCTGCTGGGGATGGAGCCCGGGCATGTGCCCCGACCAGTGCCTGGGTCCATGCTCAACCACTGGACCACACCGGCCAGGCCAAGACATTTTAAATAGTAAAAATATGTTCTTTTCTTTTGGAAGAATTTGTAGAAAGACTCAGGAGAATTTGAAGACCAAGGATAGAAGCAGAGTAGTCAGTCGTCCTAGAAAGAAGCTACCAGAGGAAGTCAGAGGTTCCCATTCTCACCCATGAAACGACACCATCTTCTCTAAACATCCAAACTTGGATGAGCGAGTTCGAACCCTGGGTGTGCATCTACACACCCCTGCCGGGTGCAGTCATTGCAGCGTTCGGGAAACTAGGACCCGTCCTTGGGCCATGTGGGGTGCCTCCAGTAGGAGTGACCTGAGCTTCCGAGATTCCCTGCACCTTCCTCGATGATCTTGTGAAATCGTCTGTGCCTCGAGCAGTGCTCGCCTTAGGGCAGCTAAGTTCTGGGCCAGTAGTCCCTGTCCGCTGCAGTGCACTTGGCCCTGGGCGGAGGAGGGAGGCAGGACCTGGGGAATCTGCATCTGTGCTGTAACCGAAGCTCTTAGGAAGCGGTGACCTGCAGGTCTTACAGGATAACCTGCAGGTCTGGGTCCCTTCTGTTCACCTGACATCACCCTTGGGTGGATGCGTAGAGATACACTTTAGAAAAGGCGTTTCTGAATTTTCAGCAGGGTGTACGTCAGGGTTTTCCGTGACACCCTTGGTCGAGTGTGAGGTGGGCTGTAGGTCATCTTTTACAAATTGTTCGAGGGACTCGACCCAAGTGATGCTGACTGTGGGATGGACGGGATTTGGAAAAGAGGTTCCCCTCCCTCTAGACCTTCCCAAATCTTTCATTCATATTAAATTATCTTTGCTATTGAAAGTATTGCAGATGTTCCCCTTTTCTTCCCATGGACCCCCTTCCCTCCCCCGGCCTTCACCACACTGCTGTCCGGGTCCAAGGGTTGCGCATATTTCACGCGTGCTTGGATGGGGGCATAAGACCACCAGCAGAAAGAGGGACAGGTAGTACTTGGTGAGGGAGTCAGAAATCCTTCGTGGGAGCGACACCAAGCGTGGAGGCAATAATGGAATTACTGCTGAATTTTACTCACAGTGTGAGATAAAATAACTCAGTGTTTATGATGAGAAGAGAATTATAAAACCGTTGCGCAGAAGGACTTGCTGGTTTGGGTCTGTGCCCAGAGAAGGCTCTGACCTGTGTCCTGCCTCAGGAGCCGGGTCCTCTCATCCTCGGTTGGCCCAGGAAGCCACACCCTGAGTGATGACTCGAGCTCTGAGACGTAGTGTCCTTGGGCCGTGGAGGAACGGGGGCGCATCTGTAAGTGGAACCCGGCACCATGGTTGCTGAGGAATGTTGGGGAAACTAGGGGTCATCACTTTGGCTGAGAGCAAAGTTAGGAAGTGTCTTAATAATTGTTTCCAATGTTAAGGTGCTCTCAGGGGAGGGGTGGAATGAGCCAGTGGTGGCAGACTGGTTTCCATGTATGGGCCAGCCCTGACTGGGGGTCGCGCCAGCTGCGGAAACCTGCGTTGAGATCTTTAGGTCCTGGTCGGGCTTCAGGTGGTGGGAAAAAAGAGACAAAACCAAGATTAATTAAATACTTGTGCCAAGGTCAAGGACCAGGGTCTCCAATGACATGGGTGACACCTGTTTCCATTCATTGGAAACACCTTGCATAGAACAGTGGTTTTCAGACGTAACATAGGAAGTGTCTCCTCTTATTTGCTCTTTAACAGCTGAGATCTGTCCAGAATGCGATGACGTCTTCACGCAGGCGGCAGGGCCCCCTTCGCAGGTCTTACACATTTTATTGCACTCTGAGCTTTACTGAGTCCACTCCCATCAAAATGTGCGATGCTCTAACAGAAGCACTTTTTTCCCAGTTGTGGGTGGGCTTCTCATTTATTTGGGGGGTTACTAGAGAGCTTTTGTCTGAGACGGTGGCCCTGTTTTGTGCGGAATGTGAATCGTGTTTCTGGGAGTTGTGCTCTGGCGATTTCCACCCCAGATTCCTTGGTGATGGTGATGGTGGCAGAAATGGTGAGAACGTGAGCGTGTGGCACTTGGGCAGTGCGGGTCTGAGAGTGGTACCTGGGAGATGGTGTTCAAGGAGGTGGCGGTGATTTCCTGTGCCTCGCACTCCAGAGCTGAGTCTGTGCTGTGTTTGGGTCCCGCATCTGCATTCCAGGCCAGAAGCTTTGAGAGAGGGCCGGGCAGGGAAAGCCAGGCCCCCGGATGCAGACCTCACCAGGGCTCGTCGTTAGGGGGAGTGACGCACGTGCGTGAGGACGCTGCTGAGAGTCACTGCTGTTGCCCCTGCGCTGGGACTGGGGTCCCCAGGGTGAGGACGTGTCCTGCCTTACCACCTGCGCTGTGCAGTGCTCTCCACGCTGGGGAATTAAGCTCCGAGATCCTGACGCCGTATCTGCTGATCAGCTCCTTTATAATCCAGCAGGGATGTTGTATGCTCCCTGCGCCCCCTTAATTATTTTCTCGGTTTATCTTCCCTGCGGGAGCTCATTGAACCCGACAGAGAGCGCACGGCCCGGGCGGGGTTGCACGTCTGTCGTCCCGGCCTTCTGTGTAGAAACCTGCACTCATCATGAGAAGCTTTTTATGTCGTTTAGACATTTCAACTCATAATGGTTCTGTCCCCTGTGCCACCTCCTCACTGTAATACTCAAGCTCTCCGTGGTAGATGGGGACAGGCGCCACGTAAGGAACGTTATCTTTGTTCTGTTAGAGTGTTTTCCATTATCTGAAAGAAGTTTGCATCGGCTGCACAGCAACGACCCTTGGGGAGTCGGATTCTTGTTAAATATCATATCACAGGGACAGTCATGCGTCTGAAGTGGCCAGAGGACGTGATTCAGGGTCACGTTGTTGGACCGATGTTCTCATAGTTCTGAGGAAATCCTGTTGGAAAGCAGTCTTCAGACACCTCCCGCTCTGTGATGGATCTATGTGAAAATGTTAATAAGACAGCTTAAGACGATGCTTATTCCAGCCAAGGTGGTGTCAGAGCAGGAAGATCGCCCCCTTGATCGTTGCTGCCCAATCTGGTGTAAATTCAGCTGCGTAACAGGCCGGAAGGTAAAGCACTGAAACAGCCAGAGCTGAGGTTCGCATTTTACATACAGGTTATCGGTGGCTGGGGATCAGTGTCACAGTGTCCTCCCCAGCACGAGTGCCTCTGTTTGTATTTCTGAATGTTACCTAAAGACAGTCATTTAATTCCTCAAGAAACGCTGCAGAGGGTGTGAAGGTTAGTAGAACGGGGTTCCTCTAAGTGTCATGTGAGTGGTAACACCCAGTACCTTGAGTGAAGAGCGGGGATTGACAGGTACATGGCAAAGGAGAGGCCCACACAGGGCGTCCAGAACCAGGGGAGCAGGAGGGGCTCCAACAGGAGCAGCGAGGAGGAAGCCACTTTGATGAGCGGGTGGGTTCTCAACCAGCAGGAAGGGAGTAAGTTCATCCCAGAAACGAAGACCCAGAGAAGCCGTGGCGACCACAGAGGTGCAGAGCAGCGCAGGTGGTCGCGGTGCCTCGGGAACCTTGGGAACCTGGGGAACCTGAACAGGGCACCTCTGGGAGCCTCGCTCTGTGTTCCCCGGTAGTAAGAGCCGGGCTGACGGCAGCCGGAGCCTGGGGACAATCCGTCTGCCTCATGGTGTAGGCCAGGCGTGGGCTGGATGCTGCTGTGCAGAACATGACACTGCGCTGAACTCAGCCTAGTAGTGGAGACGTAGGTGAGAAAACATAACATTCCCATCTGCTTAATTCAAAACAAACAGCAGCACAACACCTAGATGTCTGGGTATTGCCAAAGGAATGATACTAGAGAGTCTGCTGCTTCAGGGAGACGTGAACGAAGGGAGGCCGTGGAGCCGCCTGTAACAAGGCCTAATTCCCCTCTGCCCCGTGGAAGGTGCCCCCACAGGGAGGATTCGGACTGAGTCCGGCAGGACACGGGGACCTCTTATAGGCGACACGATCGTGAAGGGACTTTCAGGCCAAGTGATAGAGCTAGAGAGCTTGGGGTGTTTGGAAACTACCTAGTAAGGGCCACAGAGACTCCCCGAGTCACCATATTGACCCAAAATTTTCTTTGTATCAAATGTGGCTTAAAATAAATTTCGCTGACTCAGGTGCAACAAACATTTAATCCGTATTTTTCATCAAAGGGGTGGGGCTCGCCCAGTGCTGTGGCTGGCGGAGCACCAGCAGCACATCCCTGCGAAGGCGCCTCTGCTTTCTGAGACCCGCAGAGCCGCTCAGCGTCGGCCCTAGAAAGTGCACCCAGAGGAGGAAGAGGTCTCCTCCGTCCAAACCAAATGTGCTCCTGTAACAGGCGCGGATCTGGGGATCTAGGCCCATGGTGGTGTCTCCCTGCGTGTAAATGCACCTGACCCACCTGACACTGTGACCGTGTCTCCCCTCAGCCCCGGGTGCCCATTGTCCGCCGATCATGTCCACCGTTACCTGGACACTGGCCCAAACGTCACCCACTGTACATGTCTGAAGCTGAACTGATTTTCTGACATGTGTCCCTCCTGTGGAATTTTACAGGTAGCTTTGAATCTGTCACACTGGAAAGTCTTGTGTTCCCTCCCTTTACTGCCCAAATTCAATAACTTATGAAACCCGGTTCGTATCGGCCCCAAAGGCATCTTCCTTTCTTCTGGCTTCTATTTGGAAATAGATAAGATGAGTAACATAAAATTCTGGTAAGAAAAGTAAGTGAAATAAGTAAGCGGGAAAACCATAATGGGGAGATGCCCGTCAACAGTTTCATATTTGAAATATCCCATTACCCACAAGTGTTGAGAGAAATAAACAAGCTTAAAAGACTACTTCCAATAAAAGATATAAAGGGGAAATTGAGTGAATTATGCACCCAGCGCTGTTGCTCATAGACAGTGGAGGCCAACACATTTCGAACGTAGTCCTATTAAAAAAGACAGATTCTCGGAAATGCGCCTGTTGGTTTTCGTGCCGTTCCAGCCGGCCACTGCGGCTCCCCTGACCCCATCGTGAACGGGCACATCAGCGGGGATGGCTTCAGCTACCGGGACACCGTGGTCTACCAGTGCAATCCCGGCTTCCGGCTCGTGGGCACCTCCGTCCGGATTTGCCTGCAGGACCACAAGTGGTCGGGACAGACCCCGGTTTGTGTCGGTGAGTTCGCTCTCCCCAGGCGGCCGGCTCTGTGTCCCATCCTTTAGCTCTAAGTCAGGGCACAGACAATGAAAGGGAGACCCTCCTGAGATGGACCCCACCCGGCACCCTCTCCCCTTCTCTTCCCGATGCTCCTCCCACCGTGTCCTTCCCCTGCCTCCTCTGGACTCCCGTCCACGTGGTATTTGCTCATCCACTCGCCTGAGATGGACCCCAGGGTGACCATGGCTGCGTCCAGCTCCCTGACTTGATCGTGGGGCGAGTGGTGGAAAGAGAAGCTGAGCCAGCGCCTACAGGCTCTAGTCCCCCAAATAGCCCCACTCCCTCCACCTCCTGTGTTTAGTATTTTTATCATCGATTCATCAAGAATACAGAGTTTTGAGAGCAGAACTTTCTTTAACAGAAAGAGGTGAATTGTTTGCAATCAGTGTCCTCAAAGTTTATAATTTCAAAGATAAATATTGACTAGTCCTTTTGAAGAGATTGCGCCCTCATTGCAGTTTGTCTTAAACCAATATTTTTTCCAACATATTCTTTATTAAACAAAAGAAATGTAATGACAGTGTGGTGACAGGTATTATCTGAGATGGTGCAGAGAATGAAAGCTTGACTTAGGAGAAAAAATTGTTGACAAGATAAATGGGAAGAAAAATGCCAGTTTTCTGGCTGCAATGTGTTTCTTTTGAAAGGGCCCCTGAAGGGTACCTTTGCTCTCTTTGTGGCTATAATTTTGGGCAGAACATAATGACAGTTCGCTACATCCCAAGGATCATACAATAGGGATTGTCAAAGAAAATGCTATTGGAGCTGGCACACTTTAAAAAAATAATAATAATGATGTTTAAAATTGATACTGGATTAATTTATCCACACACAGTTCAAATGCCCAGCCAAGACCCTATACTATTTCAAAATGAGTTTCACCAAATTAGCTGGTATTCTAAGGGGGAAAATACTCAAAATTCATAATTAAGGCAAGAATTTTAGCATTTCTTGCTAAAGTTTTCTCTGCTTTATTTGAAAATTACTTGTTTTTGTGTCATAATGTGAGTAAGAAATAATTATTAGGATGATGAAAAAGTACACTTTTTTGATGTATTCTCCACAATTATAACACCCGTGGACTCAGCCCGTGGCGTTTAACCAATATCTGCTTCCGAACAGATGTGTAGCGTGTGCACTTAGTTCAAACCCTTGAATCCACTTGCTCGACACATCCGCATGTCTGTTCATGAAGAACTCCAGTGGCATTGACAACCTGTGGTTTGCTGACGATGACAAGACCTGTCTTCCCCCACAGCCATCACCTGCGGCCACCCCGGGAACCCCGCCCATGGGCTCACCAAGGGCAGCGAGTTCAACCTGAACGACGTGGTGAACTTCACCTGCAACACCGGCTACCTGCTGCAGGGGGCGCCCCAGGCCCAGTGTCGGACCAACGGCCAGTGGAGCAGCCCCCTGCCCACCTGCCGAGGTGGGAAGAGCTGGGGGGGCTTTCCCTGGCGGCTGAGGGCCCTGCGTCTGGGGCCTTTTCTTGCTGTCAGACAGATACTCAACCAGGGAAAGCCGAGGATTCCGCACTTTAGAGACCAAGCACCTTCCAGTTCTCTTAGTCACGCTCACCCACTCAGGGTATCAACTTCTAGCCTTGTGGAGGCATTTAGGAAGTTCTTGCCTTTAAACCTCCATTTTAAAAATTTGTTTCTTTAAAAATTATCAAAGATCTAGACTAAAATCTGAATTTCCAGGAAAATGCTGTTTTGTAGTTTTGCATTTCTAGACATTTGAGCTCATAATATTTAAGGTTTCACATCAGCTACTCGCCATTGAAACACCTGTTACTGAAGGTGCGTCACAATTAGTGTGAGGTGAGGTCTGTCTTATGGTGGTGACACAGGATTAAAGCCAGGTGCTCACGAATTCCCCTGGTTCTGACAATTTCCCACCTCCCCACTGGGCTCCCAAGGGAGCTATTTCCAAATGAGACAGTAGTGGTTTCAAATGGGAACCGGAGAGATTTCATTCCGGGAGCAGTAGTGAGAGCTGGCTGCCAAGCCCAGAGCTCTGGCACAAGTCTTGGGAGGCTTGGCTTTGGCTCAGAGACGAAGTAAAGCTTCCTGATCCCACGGCCCCAGAAAGGACCATGGTAGGGCCAGAATGTCCAGGGACGAAGCAGAGGCACCAGGGAGACCCTGGTCACTCACCACCCTCTGCACAGAGCGGAGGGGACATGCTTAGGTGACAGGGAGGAGCTGGACACAGCCAGACCTGCCTCTGTCCTGGGGTGAATCCCCCTCCCGTGGGGGTCAGTGCCAGAGTCAGCCTCGCACCCCAGGGAGAGAGTCCTGAAGAGGAAACTGATCACCTTTTCCACCTGAGCTACAACCTTCCTTCACCCTCTGTTACTCCTTTTTGTCCCCATTTACTCTAAAATTAAGGAAAACATACCCGATATGCTGAGCTAGGGCTGAAATTATTTTTCCATGTTAACTTTCTGGACCAGAAACATCTGGAGAGGGTGCGGCTCCCACAGCAGCCACTGTCTCATCCACGCCGGGCTAGGTCAGAGCGCCAGATAATCAGGCCCTTCCTGTTCCTCTGCACCTGCAAGTGCACATTGCTCATTCCTCCCGATGCCAGTAGGCGTTCCCATCACCCAGAGGCCATTCCCATCGCCCAGAGGGTCATTCACATCACTCAGACACCATTCCCATCACCCAGAGGACCATTCCCATCACCCAGAGGGCCATTCACATCCCTCAGAGGGCCACTCACATCACTCAAAGGGCCATTCCCATCACCGAGAGCCATTCCCATCACCCAGAGGACCATTCCCATCACCCAGAGGGCCACTCACATCCCCCAGAGGGCCACTCACATCACCCAGAGGCCATTCCCATCACCCAGAGAACCATTCCCATCACCCAGAGGGCCACTCACATCACCCAGAGGCCATTCCCATCACCCAGAGTGCCCATAGCCCTGGCACTCACATGGCTCTGTCCACAGGGGAAAGGTGGCTTGATTTACATGCCCAATAATTGTTGATAGAAGAATTGTTGGTTTATTTGCTTTAGACATAGAACAGAAATTACTTTAAGCACACACTGGAGCATTAATGTGTGTAGAGGGGGTAATTAATTACTGTCTCAGACTTGGGTGAAAATATTTAAACGAACTTCAGCTCATTCTACGCTAACATTTTCATAACGTAAAAACTTAACCAGGGAAACTAGTTTTAGACTTTACATTGAAGAAGCCTGTTATTAGGAAATAGTTAAAGGAAATTGGCCTCATGGTATTAAAGTTGCTGTAGTAGCCAGTACACTACTTGACATCATTGTACCCTGATGGCCCAAAGCAATTGGTAGATTTCACCCAGGGAGCGGGATTTCGTGATGAGCCCTGGTCATGGTGGTGTCACCTTAGGGACTTTCTAAAGCGACGAGGACCTTCCATCTCTCCCATCTGCCTTGTTTATGCACATGCAGCTGTCTCTCAACACCGTGTGTCCTGCTGTCTTCCAGTGGTCAACTGCTCCGACCCGGGCTCCGTGGACAACGCCATCCGCCAGGGGCCACAGAGCTTCCCCGAGAGCTTTGTCTATGGAATGAGTGTCCTGTTTCACTGCAAGAAGGGCTTTTACCTGCTGGGCTCTTCCGCCTTGACCTGCATGGCCAGTGGCTTGTGGGATCGCTCTCTGCCCAAGTGTTTGGGTGAGTGAGGGCTGTTCAGGGGTTTTGTGCCACATGGCCTGTAAGAACACCAGCAGGACAAATGTGTTTTTTCAAATATTCAAAAAGGTATTGATTTTTAACCCTGTCTACCCCCCACACTCCTGGTCACAAATTATATTGGTTAGTGTGATGTCTTTACAAGGTGTCAGGAAATCACAAACTGCAGCTCAAACTAGTTTACGGGGAAAGGTGGAGACACTGGCAAGCTCACAATACCTGGCCCCAGAAGGAAATGGGCCCAGAAATGTACGCCAGTGGGACTCCCTTTGTCTCCACCTCCACTCATGCTGCTTGTCTTCTGCTGCAACCCAGCAGACAGGCTGTCTGCACGGGTCAGGCGTGGCGGCCTCAACACCGTGCACCTCCCATGGCCTCTGTGTAGACCCAGCGTCTGAAAACTTGGCCGGGGTCTGGCCTGGCACATCCATCTATGGGCCTCCTACCTATGCCAGAGGGCCAGCACTTCTGGCCCAGTCAGTAGTAAATACAATAAAAAAGGTGGTATCTGGATAGTAGGTGCCTGTCGACCTGCCTGCCCCTCAGGGGCAGGCATACTGCTCTGGAGGGTGGGGCTGTTTCGGGGAGCAAACAAAATTGTAGACCCCACGAGAGCCCCCTGAAAACATTATCCTCAGTATACTCTGGACCATGTAGATGAACAAGAAGTGGTGTTTTACCTAAATACTTACAGTCTCACCTCTACTTGAAAAAGCATGTTGCCCTGGAGCGGAAAGAGAATCACCGTGTTAGAGCCACGTCTGAAATTTAGGAAAAGGGGTGACTCTCCTTAGCCCTTTAAAAATTAGTGAGAAACAGAACAGACCTTCAGGTGAGCACCTGTCCTCTGAGTATTTGTGCCCTGTGCAGAAAGGAAGGGGGGCTGCAGGTGCGTACGAATTGCACTTAACAAAGACAAAGCAATGGTCCTTTCCACCGCCTGTTCTTCCAGCATTTCAGGACCTTCTCAGGAGGGGTTGGGACTGGGGACCTTTCCTGTGAGTCAGCGTCCTTTGTAAACCCTTCCGATCTCCGTGGAAGCGTGTCACTGGTTCTACCTGTGACAATACATTTTCCACGGAGAAAGGGCATGGTGGCTTTAAAAAGCAGATGCACAGCTTTGTGGGATGAAAAGCGTATGTGCAACCGTGGGAGCGTCTCCCTCCAGCTTTACCTGCTCTCTGGCTCTCCGCCCTCACGGGGTTTGTCGGAGAAGCTTGTTTTTCCTTCCCCCCAGAACCTTCCTCTGAGCCTTCCTTGGCTATGGGAGACTCCCGTTTGTTTCTGTAATGACATCACTGCACCCCAACCTCCAGGAACTGGGTTTCCCTTTAATCTGCTCTCCCAGGTGGCTGGTCCCCACCACATAGTGTCACTAACAACTGGAGCCACCGGGACTGTGGGGACAGGATCCCTCAGGGGAGCCTCTGCTGTCATGTGCTCTCCGGCAGCAAAGTCTGAGCTCTGGTTTTGCTCTTCTAGTTTCCCTGATGTGTTTTCCTCTGTTGCACCTGGAACTGGTCATTTACCAACCGCTTCATGGATTCAGCTCAGATTAGCTCCTTTTTAGGGCGGTATCTAGATCACTCTGTGTTCTCCAGGGAAAGGCTGCGTTGCCCTCTGGGGACTGTAGCCCGTGTCACCCGAGGGCTGATGTGGCTGGGGGACGAGTGACCCTCTCCGCCTTTGTGAGCCGGCTCTGGCTGTTGTCACCTTGGGCTGCCAGTGACCAGATGCAGTCACTCCCGGTGGTACATCAGTGGCCCTTGAATAATTTGTTGGTAACTCAAGTCCAATTAGCTGTTTGCAAGTAGCATAAAATTAGTCCATTGTGAACCCTAATTTGGGACTTTATCAAAGGGAGAGAGAAACATTTACTCTCTCACATTAATCAGGCTTCTAGAATAGTTTTTGAAGGGTAATTTATGAATAAATTATGGGCCTGATTTGGTGTCATTTTAAGAAAATGGGAATATTGAAATCATTTTGTAGAATAACTTGAACAAATCAGTCGATACTTCATTATTATTATTTGACTTAAACATCTTAGACTGCTACCTAGTCCAAGAAAAGTTGTGAGCGTTATCTTCCCAGATGTGAGAACTAAAAGAGGAAGCTTATTTCAGGGTTTTTTCTCCAAGCAGAGCACACGACTGTCGTCTAACTGAATAAATAGTGGAGGCTGTTTTGAGGGAAATGTATTAATTTCTAACATTTTTAATATTGCTGCTTACTTGGGATCCAATTAAGGGCAGATGGAAAAATTTTACCTGGAATGACTTTCTTTTTGAAAACCTAAATATAAATGTCTACTTTAAGCAAAGCTCCTTAAGATTTTTAAAAACCTTCATTGAAGAACTTTTTCTTGTCTTCAGTAATGTATGAATATTCGGGGTGGAGGAGGTGTCTTTAGGAAACTGGTGCTTCTTATGTACAAGGAAGTGCAGGTATATGTAGGTGTTTTTATCACTAGGTGATGTTCGTATGGGGGTCTATGTGGGAGGCTTTCATGGGAAACTACCCATGAAAGGTAGTTTAACGGGAGTGCCATACTCAACAATTCTATTTATTTTTCCTAAGCTATATCCTGTGGGCACCCGGGGGTGCCTGCCAACGCAATCCTCACGGGAGAGGTGTTCACATTCGGGGCCACAGTCCACTACTCCTGCAAAGGGGCCCGTAGCCTCGTGGGCAATAGCACCAGAGTGTGCCAGGAGGACAGTCACTGGAGCGGGGCACCGCCCCACTGCACAGGTGAGCGGTGACCCAGCCAGACGATTGTGAAACACTGTGTAAGGGAACAATCATTCTGAAATTATTATTAGTTTATTTCCAGCTAAATAGGCCTCATTATATGTCACCATCTTCATCACCATAAACACCGCTCATCCCATTTTATCACGTGTAGTCCAGGAGCCTCTGTCACCCTGGCTGGGACACTGGCTGCTTTGACTTGTTTGTTCCTATTTGCTCTTACCCCTTTTCAGTGTTTCCTCTGAATTGTCCCAGGACTCCCCTGTCTCTCTAATCAATAATTACATTGACCTTCCTTGAAAAAAGTAACCGTCTTAATTCTTCCATGAGTGTTTCTTAAATAAAATGCAGGAAGTCGGCAAATCTGGACACAATTCAGAAGAAACAGATTTCTCACCTGACTGATTCTGCGTTCCCGCCACTGCTGTCTGACGGCCCATCATATTTGTACTGACCCTTCTGGCAAGGAAGCCCCACGTCCCCTCCCATGTTCTCCCCATCAAGAATCCCAGTGACCACCATGACCACATTTCAGTAGACGGTTGTTAGTCTGGTTATACAAGAACAGCTCCCTCAGGCTTCCACTTCTGTGCTGTGATAAAGTCTTTCCCACAAGGTTGCCAGGTGCTATAAAATCATTACCCCTGTTCAGCACACGTTTAGGTAACTTTCATTGTCTAATCTTGACGGCTCTGTTTTTACATCTAACCACCATGTGCATTGCCACCTGTGTTTGTGTTCAATAGGAAATAGCCCTGGGTTCTGTGGGGACCCAGGGACCCCGGCCCATGGGTCTCGGCTGGGCGATGAGTTTAAGACGAAGAGCCTCCTGCGCTTCTCCTGTGAGGTGGGCTACCTGCTGCGGGGCTCTCCTGAGCGCACCTGTTTGCTCAATGGGTCCTGGTCCGGGCTGCAGCCTGTGTGTGAAGGTGAGTAACTGAAGCCTAAGAGGCAGCTGTAGAGCCGAAATCATGTAACTCAACCCTAAACGACCAGTCACACTGCCCAGGGGTCCCAGGGGTTTAGGCTGCTCGTACAATGAAGCTGTTTCCCCCAAGATGTATAAGGGAACCCTTGGGAAACGTGACTGAATGTACGGAGCTATCCTACTGTTAACAAGGTCATCTGAGGTCAGTTCTTACCCTTTGAAAGTGTATAATCTGAGGAGGGTCCTGATCTCCTGACCATGATGTCTGTGTGATGTTGCCACATTTCATGGTTGCCCTGGGGAGCAGCTGAGCTGAGGGAGCAGGGAATTGGGGTGCGGGAGCCACTGGTGGAGTTTCTGCAGCAGAAAGTTTCATTCATGTGTTATTTCCAGCCCACCGGTGGCCTCATCCAGAGCACCTGTTGCGACAGAATCAAAGGTGGTTTTCTGTGCGATATTTTGGAGGAAGTGTGTTTTATTGTGATATTGGAAACACACAGTAGGAATAGGTGAGATAGCCCAGTAATAACAGTAAAATCACCGCGAACACTTTACAGACACTGTGTCCAGTGGGGCCTGGCTATCTCAGCACAGTGGCCAGTGTCATGAATCTGTTTAGAGTCCAGGAAATAACTGACTTAGAGTTCAGACATGTAAGGCTCTGTTAGAATTTTTTTGCATGCAGACCTCTCAATTTTTGAAAGCAAAGTGGTTATATAAATTAATTAAACAACTATTTTATATGGGTGAAATATTCATTATATAATTTGATTAACTTGAATAGCCTCACACAGTATCAATACAAGAAATGTAAATCAAATTTCCTTAAACTTCATTTTTTCTACTCTACTATGCCATCTCCCTATACCTATCTCTTATTTTATTACATATGTTATATAGATAATTAGAAAGTAATATATGTGTATGTGATCTACCTATATTGAATGTAATCTAACTGTAATATCTACATGATATAAAATTATATGTGTATAACTAAGACAATTTTATATATATGTGGTACATATGAATATATATATATATCATATGTGTATACATGTATTCTTATGTAAAGCCAAAGATACTCTTGGAGTTTTCTATGTTTATTTACCTATAGATATAGATGAGACATAAATATAGATATGTAAGTATATGTATATATGATAATCTAAGTAAGTTTTTACTTCAGATTGCCTCTTGATAATCAAGTTAGAGTCAATCTTAACATTAAGCTCTGAAAAAGTTGATTTAAATGAAATATGACTGAGCAGCAGTGGAAGATGTCACCTGCAGGTGCAAATTTCAGGATTATAATTTTTCATTGACTGAGCATATGACTATCAGCTAGTACACTTGTTTTACTGTGACATAGTTTTCCCAGTTTCCTCTCCTATTGTACAGAGTTGCATAGAGTGGTCCTTCCCACCAAACCCAAGTATTTCCTATTCTTCCATATGTTACCTCAACATTGTGTGTGACCTTTGTAATCTACAATTACACTCAGTCCAACCGTTCCCTCTCTGCTACACCTGAACATTATACAAAGTAAATAAGACTTCCACTTCGATCTGTAACATATCAAATGGTACTAGGTTAGCCTTGTTACTGAGAACAAATATAAAACTTCACAAAATGTATGAGGCACTTATCTTCATTATTAAACTGCAGATAGAGCCTGGCTTTGTTTCTTAGGAGAAAATAAATAAGCAAGGTGACTGCATAACCCCCTGGCATTCTCACTGTGAAGTAAAGAGGTGGAACCCAGGCAGCGTGGTGAGGCAAGGGCGTGGGTATGGTTATGGGCTGCAGAAATGGAATTTGCAATGTAAGAAATGGGAAGAGAGGGAGCTGCGTAGGGAAGGTCCTAGTAGGTCTGGGTGGACTTTCCCTGGGTGACCCTGCTGAGGGCTGGACTGACTCAGTAATACAGAGACCTCCTGTGCAGAGGTGGGAGTGGACTGTGGTAATAGAAGTCACCACGCTGAGAGACATGAGGTCTGACAGTCAGAGCTCTCTGTGTACCTGGCACGTTTCATGGAGGTCCAGGAAGCCCCTGTGTCATGAATAAGCACCACTCCCTAGAACAAGGAAAACTCGCCAAAACCAGGAGCAAGAACATCTTAGGACTGAGACTACGGGATCTCCCCTAACAAAGAGTGAAACTGGTGACAGGACCCAAACGATCTCCAACTGACTTAAAAGCCCAGCAGAACAAAACCCAGCACCTTTAAAGGAAAAACAGAATCCATGAAGCCTCAGTCCTCCACAATGCCCAGCACACAGTAAAAAATTACTACACATGCACCGCTCAGAACAGTATGACCCACAGTCGAACAAACAGACAATCAAAATTGACCTTGAGATGACCCAAATATTGGAAAAAACACACTAGGATTTAAAGGAGCTGTTAAACATATGGTAAAAGACTTAAGTTAGGGCCATCAACAGGGAATCTCAACAGAGAAATAAAAATAATAAAAGGAAATCAAGTGGAAGTTCTGAAATTGAAGATACATATCGGATGTAAAGGCTTTTCTGGGTGAACTTAGAAACAGAATAAAGTTGGCAGAAGGGTCCCTTGACTTGAAGGCAGGTCAACGAAAATCATTTAATCTGTAAAACAGAGAAAAAAGTGGAGAAAAACTTGCAACAGAATAATTTACTACAGGATAGTATCAGGCAGTTTAATGTGCTATAACTGGAGTTTTAGGAGAAAAATGAGAGTGAGGATGGGACAGAAAAATTATTGGTTAAAAGTTAACCAAATTTTATGGGGAAATACAGCTCCCATGAGCTCCACAGACCTCACTCAGAGGCATGCACATTCTATTAAAGACGGCCATTAACTTGGGACTGTGCGTTCTAAATTGCATTTACCACAAACACTTTAGTTTTGCAAATTTAAAAGGTGAAAAAATTAAAGCAGTTAAGAGTGATGTTTTTCCATGGAGATCTGGTTTCTGGGTGGTGATATAACACTGTAAGTTCCCTTTCAGCAGAGCATAAATGAGCTCATTTATTTGATTAAGAGAGCTTAATTGGATTTCAATGCACAGTGTTCCCAGCTCAGAATATGCAAAGTATTGTTGCATAATACTGTGTAAAAGCTGAATACAGAAAGAAGATGGGTTACTAATACATTTCAATACAGAATGTATTTCTCAAATATGCCCCAAAATTGACTGCCTCCAAACCTGCGTTGTACAAAAGTCATGCAAAACTGAGGAAGCCAAACAATAGTGTACATTACACACAGTAAAATAAGCCATGACGGATGGTAATATGTCACCACACAAACATGCACGCACACGCACAGAGTCACCCACTGGAAACATTCTGTAACTTTCCATTTTTCTCACTTGTTACTCTAAGTACAAATCTTTGGGATACATATTATTTTCTATGGACAAGGGGTGTTGCCAGTGACATTTTTATTTCCACAAAAGTTTGCCTTGACCATATGTCCAGTACCCCAACCCAGATCATCTCTATGTGATGAAATTACCTTCTCTATCAAAAGCATTAAATCCAGTCGGAACATTTCAATAAATTGTTGAAAGGAGTTAATGACTCTCAAAGGAAAAATCTTAAAATTCTTAAATATCAAAGAATTTGTATGTCTAATACATTTTCATCACTTTTAAACCTTGTTTTCTTTTGTTACCAATCCAGTCTTTTAATGAGAGTCTCGTTAACTTTTCACATCAGCATATCTCACAAAGCTGCTTAAGTAAAACGACATAATTGCTTCTAGTCACATCAAGCAACTCCTAATCCTGGTTCCCATGAAATCATACAGCTTCATTTTATTCAGGTGATGGACATGTAGTGGTGGTGGTGGTGATGATGATGAAGAAGAAAACAGCAACACTACCAGGAACCATGTCTACCTTCACTATCACTGTGTGCTAGGTTCCTTCCGGGGCATTTCACATACAGTACATTTCACCTCATGGCAACTGGGAGCAGTTACCTCTATTACACCTGTTTTACAGTAAATGCACCACACGTGGAGGACCACAGTAAATACTCCATACATGGAGGACCACCCTGATCATTCACACTTAACCTGTATGAACAAAGATTCAAACCCAAAACTATTCAACTGGGTTTAACAGCCATCTTCCACAGAGAGCATGCCAAGTGAACAGTACTGATACCTGTAAACATTAAGTGTATTCAAAATAAGCATTATGCTCTTTTATCATAAATCAAGCAAAAGAAAGTGATGTATTACCAAAAGGAGTTGCATTAACCAAATGTACTTAAAAGAAAAGATGCATTTTGAAAGAAACTTTAGCTTGTAATTTTTAAAATGTTGCTTTTCTTTTAGCAACTCTAAATTTAGTCTCTTGTTTTGTTTTAGTGGCAGCCTCTTTGTAATGTTATTGTGTGAATATAAGAAACAGATACGTGTAGACTGTCTTCTGATCTTTATTTTCACAGGTGTAACCATCAGTAACACTGTCCCTGTTGGAAACAAAACAAACAAACACGAATTTGACTTTGTAAAAGCACCCAGTATTTGAGGAGATGCTCTAATAATTAGGGTGGTGTTATGGTGATGGGCATTCTTTTCCTGACAGTATATTTGTCTGTAAATTAAGTTGAATGTGTTTTACCAGTGACTTGTTTTATTTCAGCATTAGTCCTTCCCAGATGACTTTTGAGAATTGCTACATAGATTTTAACAGTGGATGCAATTAGAATAAAATATAATAACATGGTGTCTGTGGTAGGTTTGCTAAATTATGAATTAGACCAATGTCATTATTTTCCATGTTAGGCTCTCCATTAGTACCTCTGCACAATACCTCCTGCAATGATGGATCAGTGTTTGTTGAATGTATAATTGTCTTGAATAGTCCGGCATCCTGGTTATTTTTTGTTGTTTGCTTGTTTGTTTTTTAATATGTTTTTATTTATTTCAAAGAGAGAGGGAGAGAGAGAGAAACATTGATGAGAGTCATTGATCAGCTGCCTCCTGCACGCTTCCTGCTGAGGATCAAGCCCTCAACCTGGGCATGTGCCCTGACCAGGAGTCGAACCTTGACCTCGTGGATCATAGATTGATGCTCAACCACTGACCCATGATGGCCCTGCAGCAGCATCCTGTTTTTGCAATATGAAATTTCAATTATATTGCAGCCATCATACAACTTTTGAGCTTAAAAGAATGTTACATATCATCTGCATAAATACTGGTAAATAGATCTCATCTCAGTGCCAACCAAGACACTGCTGATGGGTCTGTGGGTGAAAGGATTGTGAGTTCAGACCCAGATTCATCCAGAAGGAGGGCTGTGATTGATTAGTTATGTCTGTCACGGGCACAGGGATAGAAGCACCAGCACGAGTGTTTCTATTTGTCAAATGAGGTTTGGTCCAACCTCAGGTTCAGTGCATTTTTCAATGTAACATGATAGACAATCCCCTAAATGTCCATCATACTGGCTTTTATATGCTGTGCACACTTTACAGTCCATTTTCTTCCATATTTTAAGAAGAGCGTATCTTTTGTTCTCAAGTCTGGATCTGAATGCGGAACAACTAGATAGGCGAGAGTGGTTTCAGATATTCAGTCATTCTCAGAAATGGTCCCACGGTGCCTCTATTATCAAAATCCAGCCAAGGGTCAGGTTCTTTACATGACTGTTTTACATTATTGCGGAGGGTTGTGGAGAGAAAGTCATAGTCTTTATGGAAATAGGATCACTCAAAAGAAGCCAAAAAGCCTGTTACAGATTAAAATCACTGCCCTGAAGCACACCCAGCACCTGCGGGGCTCCCCTTGTTTGCTGAGTAAGGAGCCCACGAGACAAACCCATGGAACGTAGACCTGTTGTGTGGCCATCATTAGCTGGTCTGAATTCCTGTACCCAGCATTGCATCGTCTCCAGGGAAACGTCATGGGCAGTCACTGCGAAGCCAGTTAGCGCAGCTGCATTAGGTTTTGTACCATTGGGAAGGAAGACCATTTACTAAACAGCACAAGCGCACTCATGTTCCTTGGGCAGCCCTTACTGTCCAAACTGAAAAACCCTGTATATGTAAAATAGGACCTGATTGCCGCAGATTAAAAAAAATAAGTGAAACTCAGCGATTGCCTGATGGGAGACTCTTCCAAGTTGTTAATATTTCATAGATTCTTTAAAATCAGTTTAATTTAGTATCATAAACATGTTACATCTCAGTGTAAGATGCCTTTGAATTTTTAGTGCTTTAACTCCTGTCTCTAGTTTGTTTTGAAGTAACGCACTTCAGAATGGATACTATGAATCTATAGTCTACACATTTGTAACCATCAATAAAGGAATGGTGTGAGAAAGTAAAATATATATTAAACATCCTCCATGGAGCATTTCCCGTGCACATTTATAACTGTGTCATCCGTTGCACTGATAACCTCGGTCTCCAGCATTTACACCTTAGGAATGGGTCACTCTCTTTGTGTATTTGCTTCCCTGACCCCCACAGCTGTGTCCTGTGGGAACCCCGGCACGCCCACCCATGGCAGGATCGTCAGCAGTGACGGCATCCTATTCTCCAGCTCTGTCATCTACGCCTGCTGGGAGGGCTACAGGACCTCGGGGCTGATGACACGCCACTGCACCGCCAATGGGACCTGGACGGGCACAGCTCCCGACTGCACAGGTCAGTGCCCAGCAATCAGGGTTGACCCAAGGATGGTGCCATGATGTCGACTTGACCCGGAAAAACCAGTTTGTTTTAAAGTGTTGTGTTGAGTTTTTAATGCATGGAGAAAAAAAGACATACGTATGGTTGGTATTTTGATTCTATGCATTTGATATTTATAGGTTCTTAACTTTATTACATGGTAGGAATTACTTTAAATGGTCAGTTGGGCTGGACGTTGTTGGTCTGTTCTCTCTGTGGACCACTTAGCGGGGAAGGAAGGGGACTGGGTTCTCTGGTTGCAGACTGTGCCTCTGTCCTGGGCATTATGGTCAGGACACATTCCCTGCCTCCTTAGGGAACCACACAGGGTAGCACAGCTTCCACCCAGGCAGGCACCGATGGAACAGAAATAGTGATTCCAAACGCTGGTCAGCAGAATGGTCAGAGGATAGTATAGCTGTAGTAATTCACAGAGTGATCGCTTTGAATGGATCTTCAGGGGAGGAACTGAATAGAAACCATGGCTCATCCATTTCGTGGTAATTTCTGTGTTTCTCTGCTTCTGTTTTGTTCCCCACGTCTTAGTCGTAAACTGTGGGGATCCAGGCACACTGGCCAACGGCATCCAGTTCGGGACTGACTTCACCTTCAACAAGACCGTGAACTACCAGTGCAACCCCGGCTACGTCATGGAGCCCGTCACAGGGGCCACCATCCGCTGCACCAGAGATGGCGGATGGAGCCACAGCAAGCCCGTCTGCAGAGGTGAGTCCTAGCCCTTCGGCTTTACCTCACAGATAGACGTCTTTATCGATTACATTTTATTTCATTTGCAAGCGTGAGTGCTGTCCTTCTATGTGCTGGGAATTCTTCTAAACTTATTTGCAAATAAATGTTAAACCACTTGATTTTATTTTTCCTTTTTTTTTAAACAATCTGAAAACATTTATGATATTGAAACGTATACATCCTGCTATTAAAACAACAAAATAGTGCCCTGGCTAGTGTGGCTCAGTGCTTAGAGCGTTGGCCCGAGCACTGACAGGTCTTGGATTCGATTCCTGGACTAGAGCCCACATCTGGGTGGCAGGTTTGATCTCCGCCCCCATCTGGGTGTGTTTAGGAGGCAAACCAGGTGATGTCTCTTGCATCAGTGCTTGTCTCTCTGACCATGTGTGTGTATAAACTCACGAGATTGTACTCAAGTGATATGACCAAGCCCTGGTTGGGTTTGTCCTCAGGAACCAGCAGGAAAAGAGAAACTGAATGAGCTTCTCGCTCCCTTGGCCTCGTGTGTGTGGAGCACGTCGCGTTCAATCCCCTCCCCCAGCAGTGTGCTCACTTTGCTGTTCTGTCCGTGATCTAAATCAATGAAGACATATTAGGGGACAGTTTTATTATTTCAATTCACTGTCTTCCTCAGTCACCTTCTTATTAAACAAACAGCTCTATGCAGGTGTCACCTGTAATTCAGGTAAAGTTAAAATGTGGCTCATTTGAGCATCACGGCCAAGGCGGCAGGTCTGGACCCCCTAACCCCTGTGTTCTTTGCGAGCAGCCGTCCTGTGCAGCCCACCGCCTGCCGTGCAGCATGGAGAAGTGGAGGGAGCCGATTTCCGCTGGGGCGCCAGTGTCAGCTACAGCTGTGCGGCAGGCTACCAGCTGTCCCACCCGGCCATCCTGTCCTGCGAAGGCCAGGGCGTGTGGAAGGGGGAGACGCCCCAGTGCCTGCGTAAGTCCCCTAGAGTCCCCCACACAACTTCCTCCTCAGGTGCCCTCTGCATCAGCACCTGCATGAGCAGCTTAGGCTACAATTTGGGGACACAGCCACGTGTCATTTGTAACCAGGCAATGGCAGTTAAATGTCCGATTTGAGCCAGCACTGCCCAAGGGGGGAGTCTGCCCTTACAGATGGTTATTGATCTGATAGTTGCACCTAGAGATGGAGTAGAGCCTCTGTGACTTTCACGGGGCCGCCTGATCCGGGGCACCTGTGTGGCTGACCTCTTCGCTGTTTCCGCCAGCTGTGTTCTGTGGAGACCCGGGCACCCCCGCGGAGGGCCGGCTCAGTGGCAAAAGTTTCACCTACAAATCTGAAGTCTCCTTCCAGTGCAAACCACCCTTCCTACTGGTGGGATCTCCGAGGAGGACCTGCCAGGCCGATGGGACGTGGAGTGGGGTGCAGCCCACCTGCATAGGTAATGACTGCAAGGCAGCCGGAGGGTACTTGGGGGTGAGGCATTTGGTTCTAAAGCCTAGTCATTTGTGGGCACAGTGTCCGCGTAGATGATTCCTGTGTAAGGGCCAATCAGCTGAACTGATGTGATGCCTCTTTTATTTTTTTTCATTAACCCTCACCTGAGGATTAATCAATTTCCATTGATTTTTTTTTTTAGAGAGAGAGAAACACTGATGTGAGAGAGACACACTGATTGGTTGCCTCCACATGCACCCCAACAGGGGCCAGGGAATGAACCTGCAACCCAGGTACGTGCCCTCGATTGGGCATCGAGCCTGGGACTCTTTGGTGCTGGGGCCGATGCTCTAACCACTGAGCAACACCAGCCGGGGTGTGACGCCTCTTTTAAATCGTGCAAATGAATTTGGAGTTGATTTTAGCGATGTGCTAAGACGGCCCCAAGACTGTTCTCTTGCCTCAAGTCTCAGGCTCCTGTCCCTGTCACCTGACAACTGCACTTTTTAGGGGGACAGCTTCTCTGCAGGGGTCGGGAATGTTTTCTCCAAAATGGCCCCAGCCGCGAGCACAGCCTCCCCAAGCCTGTCCCTCATTGCTTTAGTCCCCACCGAACCACTGGACTGTTAGCAATGACAGCAAGAGTCACCTGAGCTCTTATGTCCTAGGGACCTCAGAGCACGGGAATGAAACTTGCAGGTCAGGAGAGACCTTCTGTGTATCCCAATCCCGCATTTGTAGAGTAAATCTCCGTCTCATAGGAAGGGCTCAGGTGGAAATTTCCATGTTAGCAGTGTGAGTGGCACAGACACCGGACCCTCAACTTCCTGACTCAGAGCAGGTCACGGCTGCGGACTCGGGTCATTGCCGGGGACCTTGTCCACCAGCTGCCATGGGCAGAAGTGTGGCTGCTCCGCCTGGCTCCTGTAGGCAGCTCTGGACTTACCGTCTTGATTGTTCTCCAAGAAACCAAGTGATACCTGCTTGAGAATGATGTGGGGCCAGGGTAACTTTGGCGAGGCCCGGCCCCCCGGGCGTAGACGCGCTCACTGCCCTTAGATTCCGCATGGATCTGGGGCAGCTCTCGCTTGACTAAAAGCATCTTTCTCCCCCAATACGGTTCTTTCTTTTGAAAACACTTGTTTTAAGTTTTCCACTAGCAGCTGGAGAGAATCAAATAATAAAGCTGCGGTGCCTCTTTATGGCTCAGGTCCTGCGTTTGGGGGCATGTTGCTGACGGTCTGCCATGGGCTTCCATTTAGAATCATCAAATATATTTCCTCAGTATTGAGGAAAATTAAGAAAATTGAATAATGTCACCAGTGACCAGAAGAGATTCACTGAATCCCTAAAAAACAAGGGTCGCTATAGGTGGTTTCTGAAGATGGAGTTTTATTAACCAGCTGGTACAGTATGTCGGGAGAGAAATTCATCTGTTGGATGGGAAAGAATGTGCTTATTCTGATGTGGAAAATCCCAGGCGCTGCAATTTAGTGTCATTGTCACAGCACTATAGGGTCATTTAAGAAACATGCCTGAGCAGAAAATGCAAATCACAGTGTATTTCATTCATAATTTTCATATAAAACATCCCCCACATCTGTAAAAACACAGTTTTCTCCATTGTGTGAGACCTTTTAGTAAAAGGGTTAGAATTCCTGTAATGACTGCATCCGTACCCTGTGCTTGTTTTGTGATTGTAACTTTCAGATCCCACTCACAACACCTGCCCGGACCCCGGGACCCCACACTTCGGCATACAGAACAGCTCCAGAGGATACGAGGTATTTCGTTGTTATTTCATGATGTTTTTCTGGAAGTATTTAGACGTGTATATGTTCTCATGTGCCATGATTTGTGTCATACTTGCCCAGATGACATCCATCCAGGCCGGATTCATTTCTGTGCAGCATTTTAACTGCCAAAACCAAGATGACTGTGTTACCTGAATTCACACCACAGTAGTTGCTCCATTAATTTCCACTTGAAAACATGCATGTTTTGTATTTTTTGTCAGCCAAATGAACATGGCGATTCTCAAATTTGGGTGAGTCATCACTGGATAGCTACACAGAAAAGGGCCCTATTTAGTGACCCAACGTAATGGCCAAATATTTAAATTCCAGAGACAATAACAGAAGATGTCACATCCAAGCCCCTTAAGCTAAGGGTCCTTTGTGACATCTCTTCTCCCTGTGATCTCTTAAAACTAAATGAATTATTTGCATTCTTAGTATCACTTTCAAACATTTCATTTGACTTTTTAAGTAAAAATTACATTAACAGGGACGTGTTTCTGGCCCATGGGCGTGCAGCCCAGTACATAGGAATAGTAGGAAGTGCTCTACATGGCACGGCTCTCAGTAGCCCACTAGGAGAATCTATGTCTGGGTCAGCAGTGGTCGCGGCGATTCTCTGGCTGCCAGCACACAGCCCACGGAGAGCGAACACGAGGAGCTTATGTTCACCACACAGGCTAAAGGGGTGGACACACCCCTCACTCCCCTTGTGACAAAGCAGAGTGACACCCACTCTAATAATCAATCGAACCTCAGGGCAAGGTTACTAATAATTTACAGAGATGGCTGAGACCTGCAGGGAGTCTCCCCAAACACCTGTTTGTCCTTTGCTGGGACTTGCCTGTGGTCTGAATATGATGGATCAGCTCTCTGCTTCCTTCCCCCAGAGCTGGAGCCTGATGCACAGGAAGTGAGCTCTCAGTCTGGGTCCCTCCTTGTGTCCTGGGGTGTTAGTCACAAAGTGCACCTGGCTCTCTCCCATTCTCCAGCCAGGCACATCCCATAGACTCATAAACCCGGTTAGTTTACAGTAACCCATCTCGAGTGGCCAGGTGCATCCCACCAGGTACATCCCGCCAGGTGCACCCCGCCAGGTGCATCCCACCAGGTACTTCTAAAAAGACTGCTTGAGGAGGATGCTGTGTTTTCTTCCCACCAGGCTCTCCATCATCTCCATGCTGGTCCATCTTATCAGCGTGTTCACTGGGAGGGCTCTCTGGGCTCCCTGCCATGTTACAGGAGAGTGTGATGGAGCCCATCCCTGATCCCACCAGCCAGGGCCAAACAGCCCTGTTATTAAAGTGGTTCCCGCCTAGATGTGCTTCTTGGCAGGACCTGCTCCTCTCGTGTGTCCCTGTGTCTTGCCTCTGAGGCTCATGTTGGTTTTCTTCCAGGTGGGGAGCACCGTGTTCTTCAGGTGCAGGAAGGGCTACCACGTGCAGGGATCGACCACACGCACCTGCCTTGCGAACTTAACGTGGAGCGGGATACAGACCGAGTGCATACGTAAGTGGGGTCCTCCTGCCACGCTCAGCAGTGAGCATGTTCCCGTGTCTGGGGGGTGTTTACCTGCAAGGGAAACATGGGGAACTGTTTCATGTCCGTTTGTTTGATTGTCTTAAATTCCCTAAACCAGTGTTTCTAGAAGTTTGATTCCCTAGAGCCAGTGGGGTCAGCATCTCCTGGGGTTTGGTGGAAATTCGGATCCTCAGCCCCCTGCCCAGACCTATAGAATCAGAAACCCTGGGGGCTGGGTGGGGGACAGGAGGGACAGGGTCTGGTTTACCTGGCCCTCCAGGTGATCCTGAGGCACCTGGGGTCTGAGGAACAGCCCTAAACCTTCACTACAAGGGACAACATTGTAGTAACACTGACAGAGAGAGAGCCACCTGATGCCATTGTAATTCTTCTAGAAGTGCTTCAGGTTGTCGGGTGGAAATGGGTGAGGGTACGTTGGAGTGTTAACAGAAATGCTTAAATGTGCTTTTTGGAGTCTGAGCTGATCATTCCTATAGCTGCTTAGATTAAACTTATCTCGTGACTTAATCATGAGCATTAGAAGACATCTGGACGAGTGACTAGGGAGACAGTCTTTCACCCTCTGGCAGTTCAGTGTCCCACTCTCATGGGGAAACCTAACAACAGCAGAACATTGTAAAAATCACTTTCATAGGACAGAAGATACAATTTTTGTGTATATTTATCAGTATTACAATGTGTGTATTTATTTCAAAGCTATCAATTCTAAGCTTCTACTCACATCATACATGTGGGTGTTATATTCACATACACACAACATATATGTATACACGTGTGCACCATTTCCTAACAGGTCTTCATTGTGTTGAAAGTTTGCCAAAGTACAAAGTATTATGATACTTAAAATGACTGCAGTTACAATTTTAATACTGTAAACTTATTTTATGATAATCTGCCAGGTCCTTTACTTGGGACATGTGTGTAAACTTTATGAAGAATGAGAAGGTGCTTGTGATCTAAACATTACAAGTTATTTATGCCCAAATTGCATTTTGGAAGGAAATAAGAATCTATAATAATTTAACTACTAAACACATCACATTTTTACCAAAATTAATTATTCATTCAACTAAATAGTAAATTTGCTAGTTGCCTTCAGACAAAAGCCAAGGCATATTTCTAAGCACATGTCAATCTGTTTGTGTTTAGTTTACAGGAGTTGTCTTTTAAGGAAATTTAACATGTTGTTTATCACTTTCATAGGACAGAAGATGGTATAGCAAAAGCAACCTGTTATTTCAAAGCGATGGTTTCTATTCTAAATTTCTACACATAACTAATTACACCTTTGTTGAGAGGAAGATATTTATAAATGTGTACAGGAGTTGGCAAAAAGTAGGTTTACAGTTTATATGAAAAATAACACAATAAATAATAATACAAGAATAAATTCAGTGTTTCACATACTCACAGCTGTAAACCTACTTTTTGTGTGTGTGCATATATACGGCTACAGGGAGAGAGACAGAGACAGAGAGGAGGGAAGCAGGCAGGCATCTGACAGACACCAACCTCATGTTGAAAGTTGCCAAGGGAGATGGAATGCTGGTGATACTTGGGTTGATACTGTATTCACAATTTTAAATTGTAAAGTAACTTTATAACCACTTCCAAATCGTTGCCCTATTTCCTTATTTCTTTAGACACGTGTTAAGTTCATAAGGAACCAAGTTTCCATGTTTCCTAATGGAATAAATACCATTTCAGCCCACGCCTGCCGACAGCCTGAGACGCCGGCCCACGCGGACGTGAGAGCCATCGACCTCCCTGCCTTTGGCTACACCTTGGTGTACACCTGCCACCCGGGGTTTTTCCTGGCCGGCGGATCTGAGCACAGGACCTGTAAAGCAGATATGAGGTGGACAGGGAAGTCGCCTGTCTGTAAAAGTAAGTCACTGACCAGGAGGTGCTGCCCCTCCCACAGAGCAGAGATGAATGCACGCTGCCCCCAGGCTAGTGTCCAGGTGTGAGACGCATAAGCAAGCCCTTCCCGGAAGTGGTGTCAGTCCCCCGGCTCTCATGCTTCCTGTGTGTGGCCGTGTGTGTGGCCGTGTGTGCAGCACGTGTCTGATGCTGTGGAGGCAAAGGCTAAGGAGATGTGCAGATTCTGTTTTTGCTAATCACTTGTTAACCCAAAGGGAGCATCTGCTTGGTTGAAGAAGAGCATTATGAGTTGAAGAAAAATAATATCTATAGGGTTTCCCCCAAATGACTACACATACTTTGAATAATGATGAAGACTGTGCTTATTAAAATACGTTTCATGTTCAGAATGGAGCTAGCTGCTGTTAAAGTGGGTATACATTTTTGGGGGGGGACACCCTGTATTTTTGGAAAATGTATTTTTTAATGAAAATGGACAAATACCACCAACTGCTGGTGCATATTAAATTAAACTCTGATTTTCAAGACCACGGGCTGTTTGGTGGTGGAATATAAGTTTGTGTTCTTGACACTGGTTCTACCTTTTAAATTACAAAAGCAATTAACATGGAAATGATGCACTAATTACACATGAATTTGTGTATTTACAAATGAGAGAGAGACTTCTGGGCCAGACTGGACGAGAGCTCACCTTACAGGTCCCCACCCAGCGTAGACTGTGACACATCGAGCCCTAAACCCCATCAGTGAAGACCATGGAGGGAGATAAAACCCATGACTAGTTTCAGTTCCTGGGAGCTTATTTAAGGTTCTGAAGTTAAGAATTCTTGAGACACCTACACTCCTCTGGCCTTTCTCTGTCAGAAATAGAAGTAAACAGACTTAAAAAATGATAATCTGTAGTTTGGTACAAAACTAGAAAAGCTCAGAGATCATGAACTAAATTTAACTTGGAGACCAAATTAAACATTCTGCAGGAGACGTAATTTGGTGATATTGAATATTAACTTACAAGTGCATGGATGTGGGTGGGGCCTCGTAAAATTAAGGGAAGTTATGGACTAAGTGTTAGCCATTCTGTTACCTTTCGGTTGGGGGCAGCAAGTCCCAAAAAGGAGTCAGAAAACGGATAAGAACCACCCTCGTTTGCAAGGCTCTCTGTTGTAGCACAACACCTGGGGACACGCGTCAGATCCGCACTGATTTTCACCAGAAAGGATGTTCTGCTGGGAACACATGGGTTAAAGTGAATCTGTATAGATGAGCGTATTTTGTACACGCAAGAAATCTGGAGGAAAAAAACTGCTTCAAGTTGACATTTTTTTCAAACTTATTCCAAAATACATGCATTTGAAAATGATAATTTGTCTTTTTACTTGTAGGTAAAGGAGTGAGAGAAGTTAATGAAACAGTTACTAAAACCCCAGGTTTGTATACAGAACAGTTACAGATTTAAATCAAACGCAGTGAATTGTTCTCGGCTACACTCTGTACAGTGAAACAAACCCTGACATGTCGATTTCTGACTCCATGAGCCCAGGGACAAGCTCACGATTCGGTTACTGCAGACACCCAGGCCACGCAAATTTCTGTTGCTTTCCTAAAACTGTGGTTTGAGGGAATAACAGTCCTTACAGGGAAAAGCTTCGGCACCTTCACACTTGCATTCCAAAGTGCCTGGGCATTTTGTAGCGGAGATGGACACGATGTTGGTGACAGATGTGGTATAATAGAGAGCCTTCTAAAGGGGGTGGATCCTTTCCCCTCGCCCGGGAGCGGAGGCAGGGAGGCCCTGGGCAGCTGACTTGCGTGTGAGCAGTTCCAATGTGCAGCTCCGTTTCCTCCCACGTGTCTCCATAATCCAGGCGTCCTCTGCCTCCTCAGATGTGAGCTGTGGCTTTTTGTTGTATGTGCGGCCTCACGACATGCATGGTACAGCCCATCGGAAAGATGCGGGCCTGCTCCCTAGGGAAGGCGCTCCTTAGCCCGTCAGCCAGCATCTTGCATCCGTGTCACAGCTCCAGAGAACGTTTGAATGATACTGATACAGTGTGTCCCCAAATTGTAATTTAAGTCTGACCTTTTTTTTTTTAAAGAAATAGATAATCTTTGTAAGTATACAACACCACTTTCCTTACTCGGGTGTGAACGCTGGTGCTCAAACTTGAAGAGCTGCTCTAGCGTCCGATGTGCCGAGTCTGTGTGACGCTGTGGTTCAGTCATGTGCTGCGTACACATTTCATTCTTGGACGAGGCAAATGTCTCAGCGAGATCAGAGGAGTCTCTCCAACATACTTCACAAAAATGACTCTAAAAAAATCTTTCGGGGCCGTTCTGTGTAGACGTTGTTTATAAATCAGATATCAAGTGGGTGCCCTTCCCCAGCAACGCTGTCCCCGGAAGGAAACTCGGTGGTGGTGCTGTGTTTGTGCTGCTTCTGTTGCTCATTTTTTATGGAAGAAACTGACATATTGGCACCTTCCTTTAGTTTTGTTTTGTTAATCATCACCTGAGGATACTTTTTCCAAATGATTTTTTTTTTTTTTTTTTAAGATTGGAAGAGAGGGAGGGAGAGAGAAACATCGATGTGAGAGAGACACATCAATTGGTTGCCTCCTGCACACGCCCTGACCGGGGCCGGGGATCGAACCTGCAACAGGTACGTGCCCTTGACTGGAAATCGAACCTGAGACCCTTTGGTGTGCAGCTGATGCTCTAACCACTGGGCCGTAGCTGCCAAGGCCTGGCACCTTTTTTCTGAAGGTGCGTGGGGTGGTCATCGTAGAGGTGCACCGAAGGGAATTGCTCCTTAAATGTGACCCTTTATCAGACAGCACGTTACACACCTTCCCTCTGGGCGTCGCATTAACTACCAGCAGCAAATCAGATGACAGGGACCCAAAATGACCATCTCACCCTATGACCGATGGTCACACAGGTACAAACAGGCCACTTCTCAGACCCTGTTCGTGCCCTGTCACCATGGCTCTGGTCCACCACCAAGAGCAGACTCAGTGACGCTCCAGCAAGTACATTAACAGCCCCCCCGAGTGTGTGAATTCTAACCGGGGCCCTGGCTGGTGTGGCCCAGTGGCTGAGCGTTGTCCCTGCACCAAAAGCTTGCCAATTCGATTCCCGGTCAGGGCGCAGACCCGACTTGTGGGCTTGATCCCAGCAGGGACGTGCAGGAGGCAGCCGATCACATGGATGTTTCTCTCTCTTCCCTTCCTCTCTCCAAAAATTAACTATTTTAAAAAATTAATAAATAAATTCTCATCAGGAAAAGAAAGCATCTTGATACTGTTCTAAAGGCTGTTAACGTCAGTAAAGGAAACTACGTCACTTGGGGCCCCTGGGAAGCTGCCTGCGGAGGAGGCAGCATTTAAGGTCCGTGACCAGCGGGCAGATGCGTCAGAGACCGGTGCTGGTATCTCAGCCTTGATCTTACTTCATGTCTTTAGTCAGCTGAGTCCACTCGAGGCTGTCAGACGTGATGCCGTCCTGTCCCTCTGTGACTCGTGTTGCTGGGACAGGGCCTCAGGGGTTAGCCTCCAGGGAAGACAGGAAACAGCCAACGGGACCATTGGCGCAGCCTGAGCGGGGGGCGGGGTCTCGGGGTCCTCGGCATTTGTGGCTCTAAGTGGGCTGCAAGTCAAACGGTACGTGTGGACGGATTCCACTTGCGATGGATCTTGTCTGATTATCTGGTGGGGGCCCCTCCTGGGGCAGAAAGCAGACAGTGCGACCCGGTCCAGCTCACATCAGCTACCCCGGGAATGTACACCGATGCTGTGAAATGGCCCCACTTCATGCACGTTTGCTAACAGAAATGTGAAAAATAGGTTTAACGTTGATAATCAGTGGAAAAAGAGAGAATTTCTCAGTAATCATTGCGAGTTCTCCTGTCCCAGGTGAATTTTAATGTTTTTAAAGACTTTATTACACCTTTTCTTTCTGAATTTTATAAATATACGTGTGCCGTGTGACACCATTTGATCCAACTTTCTTACCAATGGGGGGATATCATCACATGGAGATTAGAGGGTAAATGAGAGAGATCAGGAGACTGTAAAGTTTTAAAGACCTCGGAACAAAGCACCGGGGGCTTCCTGCCGGGTGTGTCTCATCCCAGCAGGGCCCTGACACTCAGGCCATGTGAGGGCCGGAGATTCCCCACACCTGGCACACTCGGCTCTTCTGAGCTCCTGTCCCTCAGTGAGTAGAGCTAGTGGTTAACACATCAGCAGTGATTTCTGGGTCAGTTTAACACACTTCTTATTAAGCCCCCTAAATTCTAACCTCACATTGATGGTACCATTCAGCACTCGCTCCCGTCTCTCTAGGCAGGTCCGCTTTGCCTCTGAAATATTTCTCCCCAAAGTGACAAATGCTTGTTTCCCCTCCCGGTAGTCCGGCTCTGGGGTCGCTGAGTCTTACACTGAGGGCACCGCAGTCGGTCACCCCGTCGGTCATGTGTCACTCTCTGTGGCATCTCCCTGAACGCGCCCACCTGCTCTGTTGTGAAACACCTGCGCTTGCCTGTTCTGTGTCTGCTCACATGCCCGTTTTCCTGCCTGCAGTTCCCTCTGACGTGTTCTTCATCCACTCTGTGTGGAAGGGACATTACGAGTATTTGGGGAGAAGACAGCCGGCGACCCTGACAGTGGATGGCTTCAACGCGAGCAGCAGCAATGTGAATGCCACCTTCACCGCAGCCTCGCAGGTGGAGCTGAAGCTGGCAGGTAGGGACTGGGCGTGAGGGACGCGAGCAGTAGCCCCGCTGACTTCCTCAGAGCGGCACCACATGTCTCGGCGCCTTTCCTGGGATGCTGGCTCTGGGTGCCGCTGTGGGGTCAGCTCAGGGACCACAGAGGTTATTTTCTCATGTTAAGTATCACAGACGGGTACAGAAGCGTGAAGGAATCTGCTCAACATTATGCACAAAACACATTAAGTCGGAGGTGTAAGATTTAAGTCCAGACATGCATGTCCCGAAATGTATTCTTTGTGCCCGGGTTGTGGGCTCCATACCCAGCAGGGGTCTTACAGGAGGCAGCCAATCAATGACTCTTATCATTGATGTTTCTCTCTCTCCCTCTCTCTTCCTCTCTCTCTAAAAATCAATAAAAGCATATTAAAATAACAATAACTTTCTTCCCTATGGTACGATCACCTCTGAACCACGTTCCACGCCCCGTGGATCGCATGCCTGAATCGTGAGCTCCGTGAGCCCCTGGGACACGTGGGCGACCAGCTGTGCTCTCTCCCCAGGGGTCTACAAGAAAGAGGAGGCCCACCTGCTCCTGAGAGTTTTTCACGCAAAAGGGCCTGCAGACGTTTCTGTGAGCAAGTTTGAAAATGACCAATGGGGACTGGACGGTTACGTAAGTAGCCTGTGTGAGGGGGACAGAGCACAGATTTCCTGAGTGTCCCTGTCTGCACAGAGGTGCGGGGCAGGGGCCAGGTCTGGGAGGAGCCCTGTGTGTGGGTCCCTGTGAAAACCCCCCGCCCCTCCTCTGAGCGGTGTGGCCTCCTGCCTGCCCTTTACCCTGGAAGAAACCAAGTCCCGAAATGAGAACTGGGTGGGCAGGAGCAGGTGGGCTGTTGCTGCCGGGACAAAGCCAGAACCGTGAAGGTGGTGGCCAAACTCTTCCCAAGGCCTTTTGGTACCACTCAGAAAGCTCTAGAAATGTCAGTCCCAGGTGGACAGGGACACTTAAGAAGCCCCCATTAATCGCCTTCTTTGCAAGCGGGCCACTTGTGCTCTGATGCTTTATCTGACTCAAGGGGCAGAGCCCCACATGCTGCTCATCAGCCCACAGCTGGGACAGGAAGCAAATATTACGTCATGTGGGTCATATGAAGCCAGGTCTTGTCCCCGTTACAGAGGAGAGTTAGACTATGAATAGGCTGGACATTTACTACCATTTTTGAGGTTGAGGTGAGTCAGAATTTACATGTGAGTTGAGGTTCGTGTCTGTGTATTTAAATGTTTAACTATAAATGTTTCACTGTAAGGAATGGCAAAAAATAAAAGTCTAACCTGTACTATCTAAACGAGAAGATAGCAGTGACATCAGATAAGAGAGGAGAGTGCTCCCAGCCCCTGCCGAGCCTGATCTTCCTGTTCATGCTCCAGGTCTCGTCAGGACTCGAAAGAGGAAGTTTTACCTTTCAAGGTGACATCCATGGGGAAGACTTTGGGAAATTCAAGCTTGAGAGGCAAGGTAAGCTCACGTGGGTTATTCTCAAAGGGAAGACCAGATGGCCTTCAGATGATTATGCTGAGAAGTACTGGAAAAGGCCAAGATCCTAAAGGCACAGAAACAAAAATAATGGGAGAGACAAACATGTTTTATAGCTGAAAGAAAAAAACAGACAATGAGAAGCTGGGAGAAAATGCAGTACCTATGCCAGGCGTGGGATTAATATCCTTACTGCAGAGAGAGATTTAACATAAGGGGAAGAAAAATAAAACTTGAATAAAGAATTTAAGCAAACTGCATTACCTAAGAAAATTGTAAGAATAATTAGAGGTCACCAAAAAGCAATGAAAAGAACATCAATTTCAAAAATGCACACTGTGGACTCAAAGGTAGATCATGGTTAGTTATCAAAACGTCAGTTTTTAAAAAATTATGTTGGGCAGATGGTAGAAATAGGCACTTGGGCGGGTGCTCGGTTTTGGTGGATGTTGGGAGTGGACGTACAGTTTGGCTGCTCTTTCACCTAACAAGCCTGTCTTTAGAGTTTCTTTTAATTCTCACCTGACAATATGCTTTTATTGATTTTAGAGAGAGGAAGGGGGATGGAAACATTGACGTGAGAGAGAGACAGTGATTGGTTGCCTCCTGTATGCACCCAGACCAGGATCGAACCTGCAGCCTCTTTGGCGTACCCATGACACTCCAACCAGCCGAGCCTCCGGCCGGGGCTATCTTTAGAACTTGTAACAAACAAGCATCAAAACTGTTCTTTGCATTTTCAGGAGTATCTAAAGCAGGAGTTTTCAATAGTTGAAATTAGAAATAATCTCTACATTTTACACATTTATCATAAAAGAATTGTTCCAATAAATAATTTTAAGCTGTGTGTTAGATGAAATAGGAAATAATAATTCCATTTAGTGTTTTCATTAAAGCAGTGAGGGCTTTTTATTGATGTGGAAAGACACCCATGACACACATGAGAAAAGTTCACTCGAGACAGACAGACGGACCCGCTCCTGTCTCGATACCTTTGTCTGCTACTTGATTTTTACCTCAGTAATTAGAGAAGGAAAATACTGGTGGTGTCATCACGATGGTTACAATGCTCTGCTTCTCATCTGCAGTCTCCTGGAGAAGCCAGTTTTGTTGTTATGAAGACGAGGGGCAAGCACGAGCATTCGCTTTGCGCCAAAGCTCTTTCCACACAAAAGCTGTTACTCCTATTGCTACTAACAGATGAGAACCAGCATTTTCCTAATGAGGTTAACGCAATACTTCTCCTGAACAGTATAAACCACTTTACGTGTTACTTGCAGAACACTCTTAACATGCTAATTTAATAGAGAGGAGCATTGCCACACGGGCCTGGGCAGAAGAGCGCCCTCCAGAGGCACGTGGGGGTGAATCTCTGTGACGATTGTCACGGATGAGATTTTTATCAAGATGAGGGATTCCAAAGGGAACCAACCAAGTGTATATTATCATACTTAAAAAAACACACAACTTGGTCAAAAAGGATCATCACAAAATCCTCTAATTCTACCATCCCAAACTCAGGGCTTTTAAACAGGAGAGGTTTGAACTATAATGTCAGCAATGGCTGAGTTGCTATTTAAACTGGGTCATTTAATTTTTAGGTAATAGCGTCGACGTATTAGGGCAACACGAACGATGGGTAAACTTCCCCTTACTCTAAACCAGATTTGTGGTTACTTGTCCTGCTTTCGCCCGAGGCACATGCTCCGGTAACTTCCCCCCAGGGCCCCCCAGCGAGGGCCCAGGCTCTCCAGAGATGTCTGAGCCCACTCATCCGACGAGCCTGCCCTGAGCCATTGCGCTGCTATTGCCAGTTCTCTTTGCATTTCCCCATCTCTTTTTAATCTAACAGAATACCCACTTGTTTTAATAAGTAATCTTTGTTCTCGTGTGATGATGAGCTTATTGTCAAGAATTCGCTTCAGAAAATAATTTGAATCAGTAGCAAGCCTCCCATTCAACTAATTAGAAAAGTCTTTGTTGAAGTTTCGATGGAAAAACATCCATTCATTTCAGAGTTATGGCTAAACCCAGTTTTATGGACAAAAACAAACGACCCCATAATTGTCTCCAGTCAGTAGATGGACTGGAAAGAAGTGATTATCATTAAATGGATACTAAATGCACTTAGTTTGAAAGACAAGTCTAGTGCAAAGAAACAGGGACATGAAACATGGCACATTCTGTGAGGCAAGGAGCTGACTTCTGAGACCCTCCTGTGTTCAGAGCCCCCTGACATAGAGCCACAGGTAGGAGATTTCACTGAGCATTAGCGAAAAACGCTCGAAATGGCCTAAACACCCCCAACAGTAGGCTGGCTACCTACATTCCAGCCTAAAAAATTAAATCTGATTTATATGTGCTGATGGAAGAACCCACAAATAGATGGTTATGTTTAAAAAGCCAAATATAAAACATGGGAATTGTATTCCCGTTTTTTTAGAAAAGTAATTAAAGAGAAACCGTCATGTGTGTTAATAGTACTTTGCCGGGAGGACACTAAAAATACCCAAACCTGTGGCTTAGAGAGGCGGGGGGACCCTTAATTTTCATCGACCTTTTTATTATCTCATAACTTTTTATGCCATTTTCATGAACATCACAGGCAGGCACTGCCCTTTAAATTATTAAAACAAGGTAAAAACTTAAATTAACTGGGAGCTCCGGACGGTCTGGTAATTTCTGAGGAGGGCTGGCTGCAGAGTCCCAAAGCCCTTTCCTCAGCTGCTCCCTGTGAGGACTGATGTCCCCTCTGAGGAGCAGATTTTCCAGGATTCTTTTGGTTGGGAGCCTGGTATGTATTACGGCCAAAAGCATAGAGTCCTGTTTGCAGAAAACAAAGCTGGTTAATTTAAGCAGAATTCACGTTCTTTAGAATGAGGCAAAGAGCCCCCCAGGGCTAAACCTGAAGCAGGAAGTAGGGCAACTCCACAGAAGCCAGGGGAGCTGATGCCCTGGAAAGACGCACGGGGTTTATTTCCCACAACTGTGCACAGAGCACCTGGTGTGTCGTAGGCTCTGTCGCAGGCTCCGGGGAGTCGGGGAAGCTGCCCGAGGGCCCTGGCGAAACCAAGCTCCCATCCATTAAACTCGGGTCCCAGAGAAGCTCATTTGATTTTCTTTGCATTTATGGTTTGTAAAAGGAAATGAAACAGGCCTCTCTTACCATGACACACCCCATAAGTCCTGGGCCTGGGCTTCTGAAACCCCACCAGCGTGTCTGCCGGTCCTGCGTGATCCAGAGGACCCTGCTCACAGTCCCTCACACACGTCATTGAGTGAGTCCACCCGCTCAGCCAGATGCACTTCAGAACTGCACTTTAGCCCTGGCCATGTTGCTCAATGGTTAGAGTGTCCCGTGCACCAAAGGGTCTCGGGTTCGATTCCCGGTCAAGGGCATGTACCTGGGTTTCGGGTGGGCTCCCTGCCCCTGGCTGGGGTGTGTGTGGGATGCAACCAATCGATGGGTCTCGCGTCTGTGTTTCCCTC